AAGAATTTGGCATCCAAAGGCCATGCTGCCTTTATTTCTTCTTGATGACACTCATTTAAGAGCCATTAAAATGCAAATAGAACTATGATTTTTAGATCACAAAATTAACATTAACAGTTGGATGATGGATTAAAGGTCATGGCAACTGTATGACTTAATTTCTCACATAATTGTGTTCAGTTTTCTGCAGATTGTTTAAAATTTGGAATTAATTTTATCTGTTGCTGAATACTGACAGCTTCCAGTAATTGGTGGGGGTTTGCATTTACGCTGTGTGCAGCCCCATCTTCAGAAGATGCGGGGAACAGAAGTCATAGGGATAAGAATTTCAGTACTGCCATCCTGTAGCTAGTTGGAAAGACTGTGAAGAGGATATATTACTGATCTAGGCAGGGCCAAAACAGCAACTGGTTTGTGCCCCACAAATTTGCCCAGTGTGTTTTATGGAAGATGAAAATGATGCACTTTAATGGCCAACCAGGCACAAATATCTCTTTATTATCTATTTTCATCGTGTCGTGGCTGAGATTCAGCTGTTTTATGATCTGAATGGGCTGCTTCAGGGGTGGAGGCCAAATGCAGCACTCCTGGCCTCTTCTCTGTCTGGCCCTTGGAAGTCTCCCCAGGACAACCCCTCCCCAGCCCTGCTCTCCACTTACAAGTTGTTTCTAAGATTCATAGCTGTGCAGGGGTTTGGGAGGAGTCAAGCGATAGTCTCCCCTCTTTAGGCACTGCCTTCCTAAGTAAGAATCAGGGTCCCCCATGCCTGCAATTGTTGTAAGGAAAACAAAACATTTAGTTCACTTATTTGAGAGCCAGTGTGGTGTAGTGGTTAAGAGCGGTAGTCTCGTAATCTGGGGAACCGGGTTCGCGTCTCCGCTCCTCCCCATGCAGCTGCTGGGTGACCTTGAGCTAGTCACACTTCTTTGAAGTCTCTCAGCCCCACTCACCTCACAGAGTGTTTGTTGTGGGGGAGGAAGGGAAAGGAGAATGTTAGCCGCTTTGAGAGTCCTTAAAGGGAGTGAAAGGTGGGATATCAAATCCAAACTACTACTCCTCCTCCTCCTCCTCCTCCTCTTCTTCTTCTTCTTCTTCTTCTTCTTCTTCTTCTTCTTAGCAAACATCTTGTTTGGCCCTTAGTCATGTTCTATGCTGTCATTGTTGGTGGGATAAAGATCATGCACTTTGGTGCCTGTGCCCGATTCCTTATTCCCTTGAGAACAAACTTTCTGGCAACTGAACTGTATGACTATGGATGCTCACTAAACCCACATGCAAACATGAAGAGAATAGCCTGCTTTTCAGACTGTGGAGCCCCCAAAGAATGAAAACAATCTTGTGATGCATTGTATTTCTCAATGACTGGGACCACGGCTCAACCTCTACATGAGAGGGTCTTTAGCAGGAGACAGATGAGTGTGGAGAAAGGATAACATGTCACAGACTGCCCATCTGACTGGGTTGCCCCAGCCGCTCTTTATTGGGTGGCTTCAAATAAACTTCCCTTTACAGGACTGCCTTCAGATGTCTTCTAAAAGTCACATAGTTGTTTATTTCCTTGACATCTGATGGGAGGGCATTCCACAGGGAGGGTGCCACCACCAAGAAGGCCCTCTGCCTAGTTCCCTGTCACCTCACAGGGAGGGAACTGCCAGAAGGCTCTCAGCACTGGATCTCAGTGTCCAGGCTGAATGAAGGGGCTGGAGATGGGGGTGGAATATGATATACATGTGCAATAAAGACTTTACTGGTAAAGTATCCAAAGATGATAATAATAATAATAATAATAATGATAATAATAATAATAATAATAATAATAATAATAATAATAATTTATTATTTATATCCCGCCCATCTGGCTGGGTTTCCCCAGCCACTCTGGGTGGCTTCCAACTGAATATTAAAAACAGCACAGCATCAAACATTAAAAACTTCCCTAAAGAGGGCTGCCTTCAGTTGTCTTTTAAAAATAAAATAGTTGTTTATTGCTTTGACATCTGCTGGGAGGGCGTTCCACAGGGCAGGCGCCACTACCGAGAAGGCCCTCTGCCTGGTTCCCTGTAACCTTACTTCTCGCAATGAGGGAACCGCCAGAAGGCCCTCGGCGCTGGATCTCAGTGTCCAGGCTGAACGATGGGGGTGGAGACGCTCCTGTGTGAACCAGCCCCAAGTCTGCTGCTTACAGTGTCCATGTCTTAAACAGGGCAAAACTAATTTGAATCCAGATGGCTAGTATAATTGCATTTTATTTTTTTAAAAGATATTTTCCCCAGCTTTCAAAAGGTTCTTGTATTTCATTTTAATACTTTATCCCTGTTACATTTTATTATTATTATTAGGGTAAGAACTAAGGATAAATCTATAGAATCCTAATTAGGAAAAAGGTGCCTGTAAATTTGTAAGCAGAGGCACTTGTCTATGACATCTTAAATCCTGAAGTTGTATTAGAGCTACTCAAATTTAAAAATCCGATTTGCTTCATAAATGTGCTGATTTAAAAGGACAGATGTGTAAACCTGCTAGTGAAAAATGAACTGAACTACAAGAATTTGTGGTTCTTAGTCCTTGGACTCTCAGGCAAGCAGGAAGACTTCTGTCCACTTGGGGGCACTGCATACTTAGTCTAAGATTTCAGCACTTCTGTAAGGAATTGGGGATTCCACCCCCCAAATCCAGAGCTGTTAAAAACTGTTTTAAAAACTGTTTTTAAAATTAGTATTTACTGATTAATATGCCATTTCCACTTCCAATTTCCTACCTACTAAGGGAGAAATCCTATTATAAATTACAGCTCAAAATGGTCTAAGAATCTTTGCATCCAGAACAGAAAAGGGGGTGTCAGCATGATCCCAAATCCTATACTGTATTGGAGCAATAGCATCAGTAGAAAAAACATCCCTTGTTCTGTGGGTTGTGGTCTTGTAGCCACTTCTTTTCAAGACCCTTTCCCACTTATCTTCACTAACAGAAGAAGAAAGTGGAACAGAGAGTACTGTGGCACCTTAAAGCCTAGCAAATTTTTATTGTGGCTGTAGCTTTCATGGATTAACAGTAGTATCATCAGATGCATGGAATATGCTCTTTGGTTGTCATGTACATGAATACACATGCATGCAAAACGGGGAACAAAATGGCCGGAGTTCAATAAGAATGGAATGTAAAAAGTGTGACACTTCCATTTGAACTGGAATGTTTGCAAAAGGACCCTCCACAAAAGTAGAGACATATTCTATTCCAACAAATGCTTATGCCATAATAAAAAGTTGCTCATCTCTACCATTTTTTTTTGCTACAACTTGCTAACATGAGCGCCCCTCCTGGAAATGAAAAAGTAGTTTCCTCCTCAAAGTTCTGATTGCACCAGGATGCAAGTCCAGGAACGTGCTCAAATATTGTGTCTGAAGGCTGAAATATTTAAAGAAAATGCATCTGGGCATATGCAGAGTGCAATTTATTCGCCATAAAGCAACTGATGCCTTACTCACACTAAGAAAACAACAGTGACAGCAGCAACTTATGTTGAAACTCCTAACACTGCTATGGTATGTCCAAATAGTAAAGGTAAAGGGTCCCCCGACCATTAGGTCCAGTCATGGCCGACTCTGGGGTTGCGGTGCTCATCTCGCTTTATTGGCCGAGGAAGCCGGTGTACAGCTTCCGGGTCATGTGGTCAGCATGACTAAGCCGCTTCTGGTGAACCAGAGCAGAACACGGAAACGCCGTTTACCTTCCCACCGGAGCGGTATCTATTTATCTACTTGCACTTTGACGTGCTTTCGAACTGCTAGGTTGGCAGGAGCAGGGACCGAACAACGGGAGCTCACCCTGTCGTGGGGATTTGAACCGCCGACCTTCTGATCGGCAAGCCCTAGGCTCAGTGGTTTATAGAACCCCTCTATTTTACTGATGGATTAAGGTTATAGTGCTAAGAATCTGCAAACATTTTAATTAGGATTTTGCTTAACAACAGCATAACTTGACTTCTTCAGCTAAAACTCACACCCAAGCTTCTAGCTATTCATAGGTGTGGCAAGGAACCTTTCAGATGTATTAGAAGTGGTAGAAGATTGGATAGATACTTTTAAAAACAAAGCATAACTCTGAAGCTATATTTATTTATTTTTTAAAAATAAAGTATAGATCAGATTAGAATCTGGCATGCTACAAGAAGGATTTCATGAAAATGCCTTTGGAATTTAGGATTTATTTATATTAATTTTATATTTTAAAAAATTCTAAGCTTTGTGATTGAGGAGCTCTCTAAGTGGTGCACATAATAAAATTGTTACCTAAAATTGTAGACTTCAAATATAATCAAACATAATAAAATGGTGTATTTGCTGTGTTGGACTTACTTTTCCATAGTAATATTGTAGTGGGGCATTTCAGTTGTGAAGTATTACAGAACTTCGAAAGGAGGAATGCGTTTGGTTGTGTCATGCTTTCTGCGGCAAATGATTGAGGATTTGTAAAGTTCTCTTTCCCTTGCTTCCATCGTAGGCACTTAGTGTGGCATCACCAGGCCTCTGTTTATTCACATTTTGGAGCAAAGTCTAGGCAACACTTTCTTCCATTGTAATCCTCTCATGTTTTCGTCAGTGCTGATTCTTCTCGTACAGCACAGCTTTCTTGAAAAAGTGAGGAGCACAATATTCACATGTGTAGATGTCCTTTGCAATAGTCTCTGGGTTTTTTAAAAAGGTATATGAACCATCTATTCAGAAGATATTTGTATTTTGAGGAGTTAGTGATCTAACATGGTTATCCTTCCTGCCCCCTGTTCCTTCCTTTTCCCTGTCTTTTGTTAAGCTCTTTGATGGCATGAGAGCAGCCTTTAATGTTTTAATCTGTTGGAAGGAAATGATAGGACTAGGTACCTTCTTTGATGTTCAACATTGTTTCAAGAAAGTGAGTCATTGGGAGAGGGTGGCTAATGAATAATCTCCATGTAGCTAGTGATCTGCAAGTCACACAGGTTTCCTATCTATAAATCAGATAGTTGAGGCAGAGTGTTAGAAAGAAGCTTGTGCATGGACTGACGACTGCGGGGCTGTGCAAACTACCTGGGGGAGTCACTTTGCCACTTCTTGAGGGCTTCCAAGTGGCAGATTGGGGTGCTTGCTTGGTATGTATATATTGCTTGCTGTTTAGAATAAAATCTTTAATCTTCTCACTCATGGTTTGTATTACTTCTGAACCTCATTTTAAAAGAACCACCTTGCATTTGGCAAGACACAAGGTGGTATGATTTTGACGTATCTGGCGGGTGAATTATCATACCTCCGTTGTGGTGGAACCATCATAAAAGTGTCAACATCAAGGGAATGAAGCTTGGGAGACCTAAGCTGAGTTTCAGCCAGGGCTTCAATTCAGTAGTAGACTATCTGCTTTGCATGGAGAAGCTCCCAGGTTCATTCTCCAGTTAGGGCTTGGAAAGGCCACTGTCCGAAACCATGGAGAGCAACTTCTAATCAGTATAGACAACACTATGCTAGATGGACCAAGATTCTGAAAGCGTATAAGGAAGTTTCCTAAGTTCCCGAGTGAGAGGAGGAGGGCAAAAGTAGAGCCCTCGTGAACCCCATGGAGACATCTCTTCATTCAGACACTATCTTTGCATGGGAAAATATTATGCCCTTACTGTTTCCACTCTTTTCTAAAAGCAAAGCCAAAGAAGCCATTTAGAAAACCATCACAGCAATACGGCATGATTACAGCTCACACTTAGATCAACATGACAGCCAGCATATTACCGTATGAACAACAAACATACGTATTGTGAAGTTGAGTGCTGGATCAGTCACCAGTCAGGCCCCTCCTCTCATGACTCAGATGGGGATGTCCAGCTTTTAAAAAAGATAGGCATAGATCACAAACTTCTAAAATAAGATTAAGATGGAAAAACTAGGTATTGCAGGAAAGTCGGAAGCGCTGTGACATCACCCCTTTTGATGAACGGTTATATTGCATGCTGCAGCATTTACCTAAATAGCTCAATAACCTCAGGTCCTGGACTGGCTGTGCCCATCCAAACCGATCATTGTAGCCTCCTGGACAGTATGTACCACCCACTGGCAGATCTTCATGATTCAAGAACCACAAGCTGAAAATGTTTTCCAAGCGTTCATCTCAGAACAGAAAATATGTACTTTACAGAGCAAACCTACACAATTCACCAGTTTATTACCTATTTTCCCAATGCACACTACATGCAAAGGGTGTTTGTATATGTGTGGAATGACCAAATCAGAATGCAAGTCCAGGTGAAATGTATGGATGGTGATTAATTAGGGGGAATTGATTTTCAAGAGTGACCTTAAAATGTACAAGCCAGTTATTATTATTATTTATTGAACTGAATTATGGCAGACCTTGCCACGTTAGGTAATTACTGTACCAAATAGAGCACACTAGCATGCCTATAGTTACTGTATTTCCATGTCAAATATACTTGCATTTTTAGTCTGATGGAGTCTACATTTCAGGCTGACAAGCTCAAGTGTGGAGAAAGGAGGGGGGCCTCACCCACACCCTAAAACATGGGTAGGCAAACTAAGGCCCGGGGGCCGGATCCGGCTCAATCGCCTTCTAAATCCGGCCTGCGTTCGGTCCTTTTTACATGAGTAGAATGTGTGCTTTTATTTAAAATGCATCTCTGGGTTATTTGTGTGGCATAGGAATTCATTCATTATTATTTTTTTCAAAATATGGTTCGGCCCCCCACAAGGTCTGAGGAACAGTGGATCGGCCCCCTGCTGAAAAAGTTTGCTGACCACTGCCCAACCAGAGTAGTCTTACGATTTACTTGCAATAGACCAAAGAGTTCAGATCATTAGGTCTATGGGATGAGCAGTGGACAAAGGTTGTCTGGGCATATTGGTACAGTTTTGTAAGGTATGTACCCTGTACTAGTGGCTGGGGAAATAAAACACAATAATGACATACAGCTCCTTTCAAAACAGCAGAGAATGCTAGCCAAAGAGAATATATAGAAAGCCATACTTGGCAAAATGCTTTTGGAGCCGTACTAAACTGCCCAAAGTCCTAACTTTCTGCAGAGTTCTAGCAGTGTGTAAGCAGTGCAGATTTTAACACGTCTGGTGGAGGATTTGCTTTTAATGCGTAGTTCCCTGTATCTCGCTTTTCATGTCATTCATTGTATAGCACTTGAGTATTTTCAACTGAGATGTTCTCATGCCCCTGCCCCTGCCTGGACCTGGATTATTTCCTGTCTCTGAGGCAGGCACATTGGGTAATACTACTTCATCAGACATTGTGCAAGTGTTTTCAATATGTCTCTAGGGCTCACTAGTCTTCTGCTTTTGAAGGAGTTGCAGATTTCCATAGCTAAACAAAGAGGAACAGCTCTGCTTTTTTGCTCCCCCCCTCTAGTAACCTTATATAGAAAACCTGTGCCTTCTTTTCAACCAATCAAAACAGTAGCACTAAGTTTTTGTTTACCAAAGAAAGGAATTTTGCTAATGTTTTCTTGAGGACCTTGTCAGCACTTTTGGTCTCTATTCTTGGCCACCGCCGCACCCGCCACTCAAGAAAGCAGGGTGCTCACCAGATCACCCAAAGGCACCGCAACTCATTTTTTAATGTCCTTTTTTTTTGCATTTCTAGGGTTTCCAAATCTTGTAACATTTGCAGAAGCAGCATCATTAAATCTGAGCTAGGAGTATGCATCTGAACTGCCTGCTGGTCCAAGAAGGCATTCCTCTAGAAAAGTACAGAAGGTGAGCCTGACATTCGCTCTCAACAGAAGTGCTTCAGAGATCACTTTGAACCTCTTGTTGACTACCTGGATGTGTGTGCGTCTGTGTACATAAAAATAAACACATCTGGGGTTTCTGGAAGACAAGTGCCCCTGCCGCCCCAATCCTCAGGCACATCCATGAGCTGAGTGCTTCTGCAAAGGCATCACATGCTCTTCTTAATTACCTGAACTTGTCAAGGTGAATTGTTGACACATGAGCCATTTTTTCCCCAGCAGAGGGGTGATACAGCACCTGCAGCGCTGGCATTAGTACAGGTGGAGCGCTCTGCTCAACTCTCATCTAATCCAGCCATTACAATGCTGCAGACACTTCAGCAAGCCTATTGAAAAATTGCTATTGCCACTTACACAGCTTTCCTAATAAGCAAGAACCTCTTCGGCAAAATCTGCCCTTGCTTGTGCCAGTGCACGCCGCTGAAGTTCACACAAGGCACCTTCCTCAAACAAATTAACTCTGATCTCATTGGCAAAAGCCACAAGTACCAATGGTCCCCTCTTAGTCATCACAATCAATGAGCACAAGTAATGCTTTTCATTTTTTAAAATTTCCTGCCTTATACTGCAAAAACAACGCTCTTCAGCCAGTAAAAATGGCAGAATTTCCCATTTTGATTAAAGCTATAAAAAGGTGCATGAAGGGGATATGATGCTAACCCGACACACATAGAAACAAATCAGAAGTGACTGTTGTACTAACCCAGCCTGTGATGTGCCTATTTTCATCAGATCTTGAAAGGAGGCTGACAAGCAGACTTTCTTGTTTCACAGATCACTTTCGGAACATGAATGAGCAGATGTTGTGTGAAGAAGTGGACCAAGAATGTTGACCTCACCTCTTCCTTTGAGACAAAGGAACAACCAATGCAACTGACTGGAATCTGAAGAAGGCCATCTGAAATACTCAAGATTTTTTTTTTATGATATGTGATTATATATGGGCTTCCATGCAAGTATTGACTGCACAATTCACTTCGTTGTAAGGGTCTGTTCCAAAAGACGTGCAGAACCCAGTGCAAAACACTGTGTGCACATCAGAGCTCTGTATCCTTAACCCAAACTAAGGTCACTAGCAGCCTGCAAGCTTCATTCGGGTGGTCTGTGAAGAACAGCAGGAGCAGCAACTGCAGGGGGCAGGCACATTCATTCTGATCTTTAGTTTTCTCTTTATTGCTTCTTTTGCTTCTTAGGTTCTTAATGTGATTTATTATTGTATTTTACATTGTATTTTATGGAATTCAAATTGTAATGCAGTGAGATGGAATGTAAGAAGTAAAATAAGCAATAAACAGACAATTAAAAATCATATAACATCTAGCACATCATGTTACAGTCCATGGCACGGGCACTACCCCATCTTGGGGGTTGACCAAACCAAGTTGAGTACCTGGATTCCTTTAATGGAATACCTTTCACATAGGGATGGCGAGACCGTTCTCCCATTCCTATCACCTGAACCAGTGCCTATTTGCAACCTTACAAGTTGTGATGATTTGCTACACGGCAGGCGAAACCCAAATGGCAACAACCTATCAGCCAAGTGGGGAAAATTCCTGCTGTGCCCCTGTCCCAATGACAGACGACACATGATGGCATAGCAAGGTCAATGTGGGTGGGTGTTCCGTTTGCATGAGCTGAAAGAGAATCTCTGGGTCACGTGCAAGGGATTAAATAGGTCCCTCAAACCATTTAGACTGCACCCCATTGGCCAGATTACACCCAGCAACGAGGGACCTACCAGTCGGGTGTTGTGTCTATCCAACAGACCCACCCACAACCAGGAGGTCATTCTCCAAGTCTCACCGCAACACGTGCCCTCTTTTAGGGAGGACACAATTTAGCTTCCATTATTTTCTGGACAGTAGCATGTGAGCCAGTGAGGGATACCGGTTCAGGGAAAGACACACCTGTTTATGCTGGCCTTTGACACTGTGTGTGCGTATATACACACACACACACACTTTCAACCCCTGGTGAAATTCAGTTATGAGGATGACAGTACATTTCAGTCAATGCACAAGTTAAAACATTGCTTCAGGGAGAGCCTAAATGTTCTACCAAACCACAGAAACCCAGCTCCTTCCGCCACTTCATTAAAAATAGGAATGGAATTTACTGCTAATCTATGACCCATTCACGCAAGCCTGCTGCAAAATGGTTTCTGCTGATTTCAAATAAGAGCCCCACTTGCGATTTTGAATCTCTTGAAGCTGATGTCGCAATATACTTTCATAGGACTGACGGCAAATAAAATATTCTGCCACTTACTGCAATCTTTTTTGACGGTGTAATTATGGGTATCCTTGCTCCAGGCTCCCAGTATGTTTTTCACCAGGCAGGCGGCCTTAGAGAATTTATGCATCCAACAAATGGATCAGTGGTTTTCTGAACATTAAATAAAAAATTGAATTGACGTTAGAGAGCGGTCTCTTTCTAAGTTGTTTTCTCTCTTCCATGTTTCAAAATGCAAAGACAAGATTCTAGGGTGAATTACTAAGGCTCAGGAAGAAAGTAAGAATTTGGTGGGGCATTTTTTTCAGCAAAGGGAAGATGGTTTGGTTTAAAGAAATCAGATTAAGAATTAAACCCCATCCTGCATTTTGATTAAAGATCACTTAATTGGTAATATGAGCTGAAACTTTATTACTGGTAGTTGGATATTTGTTTATAAATAAACAAACACTTTGATTTAATATCCAATTTATTTGATTTCTTCAGATCATTATCATGGGGTCTCTTCACTAATTGATAACCAACACAGTGCAATCCCAATCATGTTTACTTAGAAGTAGATCCTTTGCGTTCAGTGGAATTTACCCCCTAGTTCTAGTCTTTAGGATTACCATTTATACTTTTTGTTTTTCAGTACTTTGGCACTTAATTACTTATATAGTGGCACACAAACTAACAAATCACTGATAAGATAGCCATTTGCAAACATAGAGGCATTGTATAGCAAAATATCAAATGCTAAATTAGTAACAGTGCATACCTATTCCCATTCAATTCCATGGGTTTACATCTGGTAAATTTGTATAAGATTACAGCCTAAAGCTCCAGTTACTGATTGATTTTAAGGGATTTATACTTTACTTTTTAACATAAGCAGTCTTCCTGATCACACACAGCAAAACAGCAATAGCAAATTGTGATGAGAATGGATTAACTTTATCTTACTAACTTTATATCTGAAATTATTTATTTTGAATTTTCATTTCAGCTGCACTGAAAGCTCCAGGAACTAAAAAATTGTAGTCCCAATCTGAAAGACAGCGAACACCCACGAGTTCCATTAGCTTTCAAAAAGGCCTTGGCGACTTCCAGGCCCAAATCCTTTCAGTATTTGAACAAAATGAAACCTTTGTGACCCTTTCAATTACCAAGTTCTCTGACAGGATGTAACTGTTTGAGAAAGAACATGAAAATATTTCAGTGCAAAATCAGGGACCTGGCAGAAAAGAAGAGTAGGTTGAGCTTGCGCTTTTTTTAGCTGAACCCGATAACATATCTACTTTTTTAAAAAAACAACACCTCAGCTATATCTTAGTCTTACCAATAACTGATCTCACTTTTGATCGAGAGACATGGTCTTTAGCTCTGACATGAAGCATGTGACAAGACTTTGGACTTCCCTTCTTCAGGTTTAATTGTGTAGTAAATTGTTCTTCCATCTCTTCATGTGGTCTAGGAATCTGCTTTTTGCTGGTCATCTGTCTTCTTTTATCACACTATGAGTTCTTTATCTTCTTCCACAGAAAGGCAATAGCCTCATAAAGGACTGCGAGTTCTCTATCTTCCCTCATATACAATATGATTTGTAAAATGAAAGATGCCAGGGCTTACAGCAAGCACAGAGATACTTGTTTTGCTTGAAACACAATTCCTCCTCACCCAAGATATGTGCGGTTGGCTTGTAGATTCCCAGTGGTGAGGAATGGGTTAAAATTAAGACTGAAACTCTTCTTTCAGATTTTGTTTGTTAATACAGCCTGGTCCCTTAGAAACTGTCTTGCCTGATTCACCACACTCTATCATCATCATAATCATCCTCAACACCTTATCATTCATATACTGCTTAATGCCAAATTCGGCTTCTAAGCAGTTTGCAAAGTATAGAAAACTTTAAAATATAAACCGTCATAATTAAAACATACAATAAAACAATGCTGCTAAAATATAAAGACCCATAATTAAAATAGTTTTTTTACAATGTGAGCACTCTCTCAAGATGTCGGCAATATGTTGAACCACCTTATGTTTGCTACTGTTCAAATATTTGTCTAGTTAAGTGCTCAGGAAGAGATAGATTTTCTTCACGTTTGTCTTACTACTGCTCCCCGATGCCTGATTTTTTAAATGTAGAGTGCAAAAAATTGGAATGTGGCAGGGAAAGAGTTGTAGCTCAGTGACAGAGCATCTGCTTTGCATGCAGGCAGTCCCGGGTTCAATCAATGGCATCTTCTGGCGGGGCTGGGTAGGCCCCAGTCTGAAACACCAAAGAGTCTCTGCCAGCTGTCCTTAAACACCTATGATCTCTCATAATGGTGTAACCCTTCTCTCATCACTTAATTGGCTCCTCTTCCATCACTGACCCACCGGTCAACTTGAGACAAAGGAAATTAGCTGAATTCAGTCAACTGAAAGGTGCCCCTCCCTAGCCCCATGCCCTAGGGAAAAACATCCCACACTCAGGCCATTCAATGAAAAATGCAAATATTCCTTCCCAACCCCAGCAATGACTGAGAAGCCAGGGTGATGAAGTGTATTTGGCTCAGCCTAGCTAGAATTTCAACTGCTGAACTGTTGACGTGGAGCCAGGTTGAAATATCCCAAGGTGTTACTCTTTCTGACCAATAGGTAGAGGGTGCTCCTAAAAAGCTGTTTTGCCCAACATCCCCACACCTGCTCTATATTGCCCCCATGTGATGAGCTACACCACTCAGGTGAAGAGCCATTGCAATTAAATGTCAGGTAATGATACTCTATCTCTTTATTATAGGAATATCTCATATGTCTTCTCCATTTTACTGCTCCTGAATGGCTTTACCAGTACAAGGGGAGAAGCAGCATAAGAAAGCTGAGGGAGATGAGATGCAATCTACTGAATTTGAGGAGAGATATCCCCCCAAGTGACGAATCCAGTACAAAATTACTATCCAGTGCAGGGTGAATGGCAGCTATTATAAGTGATAATCCCTGTTTTCAGATGTGAACAGCTGCTACATTAGCAGCTAGTACAGCCAGTGCTTTTTTCTGGGGGGACACAGGGGTATGTACACCCCTAAACATTTTGTGAATCTTTGTACTTTTGTCCATTTACTGTATTTCTTTTCCCTGATTTGAACTATAAAATGGTGATGTTCTTGAGTCAAAATGAGACTACCCCTAAACATATATTTTTTTTAGAAAAAAGCACCGAGTACACCCATCCTTCACCCCTACTTTCCAACATCAAAGAAGCAGAGTCCACGTCCAAAAACACAACTCATGGCAGAGCTAGGCAGGTAGGATCTATACATCTACTGCTAAGGTGGCCATGGGAATGGGTTGTGGGTGAAGTGGAGAAGGCACAGGCCTGAGTTAAGAGTGAGGCAGCGGGGAAATTGGCATAGTGCAAATGTACTAGCAGAGCCAATCCAGTGATTCTGCCAATGTGTTTGCACTGCACCAACCTCTCCTCTTTCCCTCTCTTTCCCTGTAAGCAGCAGCGATTCAACTGTCAGGAGGTCAGATGAGTACCACCACCTCACTCACTGTCCACTGCTGCGTCCTTTCTTTCTCTCCCTCTCCCTCTCTCTCTCACACCAGCATTTTGATTAATAAAGGACCAGAATTGAAAATTTGCTGGTCTTTCTTCCCCCTTCCTATTTGCGGTGCTTAACTGTGTTCCTTTTCTTATTTCAGAGGAGTTCTGATTGCTACTTAGTTTTCTTTATTGTCGATGCTCTGTGCGATAGCAATCACATTTGCCAGGAACACTAAAACAAAATGTCATTTAAAAAGGAAAGGCAAACATTCATGCTTGCAACCTATCGCACATCCTGACATTTTACAAATCAGAAGAGACATTCAAGGAGCCATGTGAGACAAATGAAGTACATTTTGGATGGAAGCAGCAAATGACCACAGCAAGGTGATTAGCTCTGGACTCTTTCTTCAAAGGGGGGGGGGGAACGCCACCAAATGGGAAGATCACAGATGTTCAATCCTGTAAAACAAGACTCTGGCAAGAATAATTGCAAAACTAAAACAGCACGTACGATGCTCAGGAATAGCAGGGGGCTGTGAAGAAAAGCCACCACAGTGGGTGGAAATAGAGAGTTAGTAGGAGAGAAGGGCCACAATCCAGAGACCTACTTTCATCATGCACCCAGATGGGCTTTTTCTTTGAACAGCCAATCCTCATGCCAGATCGTAAACTGCTGCTGAAACTCC